AATTTTTAGTGGAATCGAAAATTTGGAGGTAAATAAAACACCGAAACCCGGTAAATAAATAGGCGATCGAATTTTTAGAGGGGTCGAGTTTTCACGGTACTAATTATTCCATTTCAATGAAACTTAGTATAAAGATGCTCTAGGACAATGTACAAACCTAATTAGTTTGGGGTAAAAATCTGTTCATATTAATTCCCTAATAAGCATAATAATTCATAATTTTTTGGTTCTAATCACATTTCAATTAAACTTGGAGACATAGATTTTCTGTTACATTGCGCAGACCTCATTAGTTTTACACTCAAATCTGGTCATATTAATTTTCTGATTTGCATAATTAGTTTTCAGCTAAGTAATTTCGAATTATATTTAATGTGTCTCCAATACTCTCAGCACATGGGAGTTCTTTCTAAGCTTTCTTTGATTTTTATTTGATAGGGGATGGGTCAACTGAGATTTACAGCTGGCAAAATGGAATCTGCCGCCCCCCCCCTAGGCCGAAGTAACTGACAAATCCCTAAACACAGTTCATGATTTGAACGACATTTCCTGCACCCATATACGTCATTTTGACGTCATAGAAGCGCTCGATCCGCTACGAGAGGGCGCGATTTAGTGTACGGACATAATCAGTATACATACTCCAAGAACAACATTTTAGGTCATGGCAAATTATTAATAAATGAGTTCAACATGTATCAAACAACATTCTTAAACATTCATGTTTTCATCCATATTGTATCTTTTTATGTTAAAACAAAACTTGACTACAAGACGGACCTGATATTCAAATTCAATTTTAGGAACAAACAGCCATCGCTCCTGCCAATGTAACTTCCATCAGAACTAGCGTAGTGTGCAACACCGAAGACACCAATCATAGAAGCGATACACTGGGAGACACCACACAGCAACCTGTCGACTCTTCAATCAACGGTCTGTCAGAGAGTAGAACTATACTGCAATACAGTATACAACAACCTGTCAACACTTCAATCAACAATCTGTCAGAGAGTAGCATCACACTAGGA